AGTCTGTGTCGCAACGAGTGGAGCTTGCACTGCCAAGCCCCGCACTCCCTTCTTCAATGTAGAATACCTTCAAAGATCATGACATAAGCTGAAGTTTTAAAGCATATTATTACGACCACCAGTGTTGCACATGAACTTTGGGCCGGGCTTCAAGTAATCTTCATCCAAGGTACGCTTTCGTCCAGTGAATCTGTGGTGAAAATAGGCTCTCCGGGCATCAGGTGAAGCACCGCCACAAGTTTTGCCATCTCATCCAGCCTCAAGGAAACTCGCTGCAAACCAGGCCATAGCCTGCCATAGCGACCATATGACCATTTTTATATGGCCATAGCAAAAATGTTGAGCTTAGCTTGCTGAGGCACCCTGATCGGACAGCACTCGAAATCGTTTCAAAGACTTCAGCCTTCTCTTGCGCCGACCTTCGCAGCTTTTGCACAGTCGTCAGTGAGGAAAACATGGTGTGCAGTCCAGACAGTACAGTCTTCCTGAGCTTCCTGGGCCAGGTTTGAGATGGACTGAAAATTATTGACATGGGCTTCAGAAACTCATTTTCCAAGTGCTAGCGAAATGCAGGTGCTCCAACTCCACTTTGGGCTTTGCAGGATCTGGTTCTGGCCTTGGAAGCGTGACTTCGGTCGCTGGACAGGCTGGACAGGGTCATCTGAGCACAAAACACTCGTGCTGGTGCTGCTCTACGTTGCGCCCAGTCACAGAACTGCGCGCTGAAGCGCCGGGGAGTGACGGATCTTCTGAGCAATTCGAGGATTGCCATAAATTCGGTCCGCGAATGCAGCCTGCAGGAAGCTCTGGTTTGCTGACAGAACTGGGAACAATATCACAGGATATCACAGGTACACGCCTCCAAGACATCCGTGGTGAGCATGCCCACAATGGAAGGTTCTTCGCAATGTGCGGCTCCACCAACGGCATCATTGATCTGTTCATCTCCCATCCTGGCATGACATCCGCCACACTGTCGGCGATCAGTTTTCCATGCGCAGCACAGCAGGTGTGCCTGAAAGGTTGCTCACCAAAGATGGAACCCGGCAGAAGTTCCAGAAACTCTCCAACGCCATTACCATCGCGATAGATATTTACCCTACCTCAGAAAAAGCTCAGAGACTAATTAAAAGCACCTCACTGCGAACAGAAGCAAAAATGTGCCAAATAATGTGGATAAGTATGGAAAAGCCATAAATATACATAAATAATATAAGTTATACAAGTATAAATTATCGATAATCATCATAAACCCACCAACGAATCGAAGAATCCAACCGCTCAACCCTTCCAAGCTGCCGGTCAACAACATGAAGCATCTCATCTGCTCTGTCCGAGGCCATTCAGCTTTCAGAACTTCACTGCCGAAGATCCACCGGCCTATAGAAAGCCTCCATGAAGCACTGCCATGGCCATCCTATTGTTTTAGCAACTTTTAAATTTTGTGGATCAAAAGATCAAACTGGATGAAAAGTCATGAGGAGACTTGGAGACTCAGTCGTACAACAGCAGCAAAGTACGAGAGCCTCAGGAAGGTCATGGTACGCAGAAACCTGCACAGAATCCACCGGGGAACTTTCGCACAAGTGCGACACTCACTGCAACTGCGAAAGAGATATGACTTGCGATGACTTGCGTGAGCCTGTCCAATTGGCGATCGTCCATACGCTGGAAAAGCAAAGGATGGATGTTGCGAATCTCTTTGGCAACAACCTTAGTACAGTCAAACGACTAACTCATTCCTAAGTCATGCAACTTGACTTAAGATCTGCATAGAATCGCTGTTTCTAATCGCATAAGAAGAAGCAAAATGAAACCAAAATGAGGATTTAGTTGCAAAGGTGATTGAAACCAAAATGCTTTGCCATGCTTTGCCATGCTTTGCCTTCTTTGCCATGTGGCCATGGCTCCAATGAGGATACCAATGGACCCAGTAGTTTTGTCCTTTTTGGTATCAAAGGGTCAAGCAGCCTTTTCTAATGCACGGGCATCTGTGTGCAGCTTCTGAGGCACTCGGCGGCCACCTGAGTTCCGTCAAGTGAGGCCATGCTTCTGCGGCCAGCGTGTTTCCAAGGCTGTGGCGTTTCTCCGTGGTAAGAATCAGCTGCCGACACCTTCAATTTTTACTATTTACCCGGAGTGAAGTCCCCGGATTAAAACGTCTTGAGGAAGCTGAGAAAATGAAAGATGGCGGCTGGTACAACTCACAAGGAAGCATCTGATCACAAAACCTCACATCCCATTGTTGGCAATAAACTAAGTGCCTCACCTATAATACAAAGGCAGCACTCTGCCCAACGAGTTGGGCCATGCCTCCTTGCTGCCATCATACGCCTTGGATCGACCGAAAGTTGCGACGAATTGTATTGTACGGAGCATATGGCACTGGGCAAAGCAAAGCAGCAATTCCATCACAACAAAAAGAAGCAAATCCTAATGAAATCTTCTTCAACTAGCAACAACTTGATGAAGAAATGCGAATGTAAGAGTTGCTGCCCCTAAGCCCCTGATGCCGGATACACAAAAATCTGCCAAGGCACCCGTTTGGACAGTCCGGGGCGGCCTGTCCAAGTGGATATCTCATCAAACAGGTGGGACTCAAAATCACGGAATGTCTGACAAAACAGGTGTACAGTCATAATATGCAATCTTGGATCACGACCTGGCCATGGCACATTGGTTGCCAGGGCACCTGGCAAGCGAAAGATGCGAAAGCGCACTCTGCACCAGAAAACAACAGAGAAAGCTTGCAACACATTGCGACGTCTTGGCGCCTTTGTGGTGCGAACCAGCAAACCCTTCAGAGAGGGATGCCGCGGTGTTCCTTTTCCTCAGCTCAACATTTTTAGCCAACCCCAACTCCACAAAAACGACGTGCATGACGCATGGCAACCCATGGCAACCCATGGAAAGCTGTTGCAGTCCAGTCTTCTTCTCGGCAGCCAGGTCTGGAAGACTAATGGCCCGATTGTTCATGGCAGCCCCGCCCTAAGTCCATGCAGCCTTGCTATGGACCATGTGAGGCAGCTGCTTCGAGATTGGATAAGGGCCTGTAGGTGAATGTTTCCTATGGTAGACCCATAACTCATCTGCTCTGCACCATCACAAGCTCAAAGTTGCCAAGCAATGTGAGCCATTTCTTGACTGAGTATGCACCAGCTCGCAAGTCAGCTGCCTCACACCTACCTACGTTGGATCTACCTGCTTGGCACACAAAGCGATGTGTTTCCTTCTCCATGCCCACACCGTCCGCCCGTACACTTCTTGACCAACATTGCCAAAAAAAAAAAATCTGGACGACATCACTCTCTCTCTCTCTCTTTTTATTGAGGAGTCTCTCTCAATTTCGCATAATTTCGCTGCATTTGTTTAGTTTTCCCATCCAACCGGCGATCAACCCTTTGCCCTTCGCCTTTAGCGAGTGGCTGAAAGACTCTATGGCACATCTTGGGGATGCACCAAAAAAAGTGAAAACGTCGCTGAGCATCAAATCTTGGATTTGGCTGCCCCGTGGGACATGCAAAGCGTGTCTTACCACACCAAAACTCCAAAACCGATCCTGCAAACTCGATCTGCTTGCTCATGCGGGGAAGTGCAAGCAGAATGTTGCAAAGATGGGAGTCAGTCTTGTGACTGACCACATTGCAGTCAATTCGCCAATTGTCGTAACGAAATTTGCTCAGCTGATAAGAGCCCTCGTACCGCCAGATGCCAGAGTTTGTGTCGGGTCGAGCGGCTTGCCGGTTGTCGGATCCTGCGGACCATGCACACTGCTTGCTCACACTATCTAAGATAGGAAAAGTATGAATCGAAGAAAATGCACAAATTTCCTGCGGCGGGGCATCCCACAGAATGCCGATGGTGATCATACTCCTCAGAATCAAGCACTTGCCACGTGAAGACCGGGAGAAATAATCAGAGATTGGTGCAGCTGACACCTTCCAACTGAGCCCGCGACTGTTTCAATGACTTCTTCTGCTTTTTCTTATCGCTCGACACGCCTCAATTGCGAACTTGCTGGAAGAGGAACAAATGGAGAAAGATTCAGCAGGGTGGTCTATGTCTATTTCAGCTGCGCAGCTCAAGGGAACCATGCCCTCGAAACCATTGCAGAACTGCTCCACCTGACGTGGTAAGCAGAACTTACCAAGATGCAAGCAGAACTTCCAGCGTCGTGCTGCCGAACCTGTACCACTCCAGTGCCAACCAGGTCATCAGAACTGTAGTGGTCCTGGGTGCGGAAGAACGACATACTGAGACTGCCATGTAGGAACCACAAACAACACTTGCATCATCTTTTATCCAAGCTGCATAGTCCCAAACAGAGATTTCCAATGCCACTTCACCGCCATATACCAAATGGCCTCATCCAAATGTGCATTTTCTGTGGCAGCATGTGGCATTGCATGGCATCACAAACTGCCTTTCCACTGTTCGAGATTTGGCCTTCGCAGTTCCAAATTGGATCTCCGCCGGCATCTTGGAGGACGCTGGTTCCTTTGTCAGCCCAGAGGGGGGCCAATCAAAAAAAGAATCCAATGAGAAAATCCCCATATCCGCTCTTTATTTGGCCGAACCAAGGTTCTGAGCTCCTGTTTGTTGCCACGAAACCTCATTGCAACACTGCCACAAGCCCTGACTCCAGTCCACGCAAACAAAAGCTTCATACAGTCAAACTGAGTCAAACTGAGTCAAACTCCCTTTCATATCATGGCGTATCAGCGTATCAGGTCAAGTGGGCGAGATGAAACCGAAGGGAACACAGCCCTGCAACACATGGAACCCCAGGTGGACTTAATTGAAGCACCTGACGATCGCATATGGATCCAGCTTGTCGAACCAGCCGCCACCGCTGAGGTTCAGTGCATTTCGTACTGTAATATGTGCCTGTGAGTCAGATTAGTCAGATCGCACCACAAGATATCGCCGATATCGCAAGATCATTTCAGGAAAGCTGCAAGCACGAATGGCTGCCATATCATTCGAATTGCGCACATGATGCACCATGAATTGATGAACTCCCACGCCTTGGCACCACGATATGCGACACGGAACCTGCTTGGATCAACAGCCTCCACAATCTTGCTTTGGAAGAGACCTGCGCAAAATCCATGTATCACCATATTATCAAAACAAGGAGGAAAATGCAATGATCCAGGGTAGGATGAGCACGAGGAGGACTGAGCAACAAAAGTAGAGAGAGGCGATTGCAACCATATCCCCCATGATAACAATGAGCATGCTGCTGGCTAGAAAGATGACAGGCCAGCTGAGGATTTGGGATGAGTTTGGCAGGTTCCAGGCAGTATCACTTTCAGTCTATCATAGTCTATCAGTATGCTGCTGCACCTTTGCGGAAGTTGTCTGCTTGGTCTTCCGTCTCCCATCGTTCAATCAAGGACTTGATGATGCCCTCGCATGGCAATCTGATAACAGGTGTGCCCAGGGCAGGTTGTAAGAAGCTTTTGTATCTTTAGTTCCGCTTGGCTTCCGAACCTTGATGGTCTGCTGCTTGTCCAACGTGGAACCGCGGCATGACTGCAAGAACTGTTTTTCCTTCTGGCTCTTCTTGATCTGAGCATCGAAGCTAAGGGACAAAAAAAAGCACATCCGAAAGAAATTGCGACGAGATGAAACGCGTCTTTGAGGTCTCCACGAAGTCTACGAACCTTTTCTTGGATGCCTGCCATGACACTTTCACTCTGAGTCTTCAAGAGTGTCAGAGAGCTTCCCCAGTGCACTGACGGTCCATGCCGTTTGCTCTCTAGATCTCTCTAGCCTTCAGCAGCACGATCTTCTCGTTTGCACCTCCTCTCTGAAGGCCACCAAAGATCCGGAAATTGCTCAGCTCCTTGGCATGAAGTAGCCCAACCCAGCTTCAAGACTTTCATGGCCTATCATGGCTTACACTTAACTTATATAATCTTGTGTATATATATATACATGATTGTTGAGGCCGAATTTGCATCGAATTTGCATCATATTTGCTTTACCTCTTGCAGTCAAGGCACCAAAGCAAAAGGTGTCTGATTTGCAGCGCCTTCCAAGGTTTTCATGAACACTGAGCCCAGCCTCAGCTTCAGTGCATTAGTCAACATCATCTACAGCTAGAGCGTGGTGTAATCATGCAACAAATACCGTACGCACGTGCACCAGCACACAACATCAAAGTGAAGCCAAGTTCGCGACATGATGGTCTCATGACCCCAAGCTTCGAGGCTGTCGAGATTAAAAAGCACCTTTGAAATGGCAAAATCTTCGGTGCAGCAATCCACACGCAAATCATCCATTATATTAAAATGGCTACAAATACTACAGCTTCGCACTAGTTGGATTTCGCCAGCCTGATGGTTCCAGCTTCTCTCCTTTGGCTTCTTGGTGAGCGCACTGATTTTCTCGTAGTCATACTTGACCTTGGCCACTTTGGCTGCATCAGAAAGGAAAAATGGTATGCAGACGGTCCCTTAACCACTTGTCCTTCATTCACTCACTCACTCGCTCACTCACTCACTCTTTCTCTGTCTCTCTCTCTCTCTCTCTCTCTCTGTTTCTCTCTCTCTCTCTCTCTCTCTCGTCAATTGTCAAGGCTCTTTGTTTGGTACATTTGGTCTTACAATGAATAATGACGTTCAACCGTTAGACTTGTGGCCCCGTGGTGCACGAAATTAGCGTTGACAGCGTGCAAGATGTAGCGTTGCCAAGCCAAGGCACTCCAAAGTAGAGCCTGCCGGCTAGTTCTAGCCTTGCAAAGACAGAAAGCCAATAGAAGTTGCACAATGGACGGGAACTACCCACAGATCCTACCTTTCTCTATCATAAGTTCCTTGCTTGCTCCTCTCATCGGCTACTGTTCCAGCTGCAAAAGCACCAATGTTGATCATCCGACTGCCTACTCATTGCCGTATACAATTAGCTTTGTCGCTGTCGTCAGGATGATCATCCAAACTCATCTCGGCATTCCTCGTAACCGAATTTCATCTTCGGCCAACCAAGCCACATATGTTCGTCATCTTTGCCACTTCCCAAAGTTCGCTTTGGGCGTTGGAGGTCCACTTTTCCATACCATCCATCATGCCTCAGCCAGGCAATGCAACTTCAGGTTTAGAAGTTTAGAAAAAGGCCCAAAAAAAAACATCGGGGCAAAGATAACTCAGGAGGAGCATGATCGATGACCAATGCTGACCAGATGCAAGTCTGAAACCTTCACTGTGCAGCTGCCACACAAATCGTCGGCAGAGAATTTGTCATAATCCATAACCTGCTCACAGTGATGTTTTTGGTGTCCTCTCACATCTCACTGCCACTTCCTGCTGCATCAATCTTCATCATCATGTATCACATGGACAGCGGAAGAAGGTCATGCGAATGATCTGCCAAGGGACGATGATTTCCAACTCCTTGGCTTTTCTTCTGATTAAGGATTATCAAGGTGTCAATGGCAGCTGCATGTATGCAAAACATGCTAGAGCTTATGTTTTCACCAAGTTTCTTCCTCATCGGAATGTGTGAGGACACCTTGGTACCTGAAGGAGAGCCAAAACGACTGCCAGAAGAAATTCATGCTTGCGAAACCACTTGTTCGAATGATGTTTACAGGCACCAGCGCTTGCATATGAAGTGTGTGTGTGTGTGCAAGCACTTCTAGCTGTTTCTGTCTTTTCTTCCCTTCCTTCTTTGTTGCTTTTAGTTTGTGGTGGATGTTTGCTTGTGTTCGTTTGTGTGTGTGTGAGGGTCACTTTTTTTTTCCGGTGCTTGTTGCTTGCTTGTCTACGATCTCACAAATGACTTTTTGCTCACTGTCCGCTGTTCTTGTTTCGCATCTGTTGGGCGGGATTGTGGGATTGAGCTGTTTCTCTCTTCTTTGATTTTCTGACTGTTGATTTATTCTGGTTTCTTTTGCAAGCGTATGTCTGTGTATGTGTATGTGTATGTGTATGTCTTCCTTTGGGGCCCGGTGCGACTGCTTGCAAACAAGTTGCTCGAATTGAGGGTTGACTCCAACATTCCACATCACAGGAGTTTGGAAGCGTTTGAACTCGCCCAACCTCAGTGTAGCAATACAGTGAATACAGTGATGCAACACTGTCACAAGCAAATACTCACAGCTCAATGCACTGATCCCAGCTGATCACATCTCAGGGCGTCGCTTCACAACGCAGTATGGATCTAGTTTGTCGAAGATCGAGTCGCCTCTCCAGTTGAACTCTTTGAGTTATGGGAAGATTATTGATTCAGCTTTCAGCATGGTAATCACCACACAAGACTTTGGAGCGCCACGTCCTTTTTTTTCACTCCACATAACCACGGCTCGGCTCAGATGTAGTTCGCCATCCCGAGCCGCTTCACGGTCGCGGGGCTTCCTTTATGTTCCGCAGGTCGATCACCATGTTGCCATTTCCCTTAGATCCCGACACGAAAGAAAATCACTAACAATCTGTCAGCCATCAATCACTCCAAACAGGAGAGAGCATGATGTTTGAACATGTCGAACATTGATATATTTATATAAATATGTGTATATATATATGTGTGTGTGTGTGGTTATTTATTTATTTATTTATATTTATTTATTCCCCACATTGACGTGTGGGGTTTTTGTTTTTAGTTCTGTATCCGCTCCTCGTCCTCCTCCTCCTCCTCCTCCTTCCCCTCCTCCCTCCTTTCCCCACATTGACGTGTGGGGTTTTTGTTTTTAGTTCTGTATCCGCTCCTCGTCCTCCTCCTCCTCCTCCTTCCCCTCCTCCCTCCTCAACACTCACTCACTCACTCACACACACTCACTCTCTCTCTCTCTCACTCACTCACTCACTCACACAAACTCACACACTCACACTCACTCACTCACACACTCACACTCACACTCACTCACTCACTCTCACTCACTCACACTCACTCACTCACACAATCACTCACTCACTCACTCACTCACTCTCACTCACTCACTCCCTCACTCACTCACTCACTCACTTGGGCTCCGCTGCTTTTGCGTGGCAGGCGTGGGACAATGTGCACTGCCAAGGGGTCGGATGTACGCCCTGGCGTCCCTCGGGCTCCGCCGCTTTTGCGTGGCCGGCGTGGGACAATGTGCACTGCCAAGGGGTCGGATGTGCGCCCTGGCGTCCCTCGGGCTCCGCCTCTTTTGCGTGGCAGGCGTGGGACAATGTGCACTGCCAAGGGGTCGGATGTACCTGGCGTCCCTCGGGCTCCGCCTCTTTTGCGTGGCAGGCGTGGGACAATGTGCACTGCCAAGGGGTCGGATGTACGCCCTGGCGTCCCTCGGGCTCCGCCTCTTTTGCGTGGCAGGCGTGGGACAATGTGCACTGCCAAGGGGTCGGGTGTACGCCCTGGCGTCCCTCGGGCTCCGCGTCTTTTGCGTGGCAGGCGTGGGACAATGTGCACTGCCAAGGGGTCGGATGTACGCCCTGGCGTCCTTTGGTCTCCGCCTCTTTTGCGTGGCAGGCGTGGGACAATGTGCACCGCCAAGGGGTCGGATGTACGCCCTGGCGTCCCTTGGTCTCCGCCTC